CTTCATTATAAAATATGTACTCATTAAAATATTACTAAAATTACACATGTTATCTGTTGTGTAGAAAAAATGATATTAAGTCCCTGCAATTTACATATTTTAACTATTTTAAGTATGAACAAACGGTAATAAGATACTTCAATTAAATTTTATTTAGGTATTGATGGTACCTTTGGAGTAGTATAAAAATAAATCACAAGTCTATTATTAACTTTTAATATTAACTAATGAATTAAAATATGTTTTCTTCACTTAATTTAAGACATAGGTAACACTAGTAGCTACTAACTCAGTGTTTTATACGATATAAATTATTATGGTAAAATAAAAATATCTTTTGACTAACAACTCTATGGAGATTTAAATATTTAATAGCAGAGAACAAAGAACTGAAACAAGTAATTGTTTAATTATTATGGTAAAATAAAACAATAGTTGGTGCTGGTACTACACAAAATATATGATTAATTCATGGTTTATTGTTTATACATTCTAATTTTCTCAATTAATTTTATTAATTATAATGCATTTAATGCTAATTAGTAATACAAATGAGAAAAAAGCTTAGGTATATTTTAGTTACTACTCATTTAAACAAGAAACTTTCAATGGGTCAAATTTATAGGAAAAAAAATGTAGCCTTCATTGATCAAGTATTTGAGTACAGTTTTAACTGCAACAATTCGCATATAGGTACATAATAYTATAATGTTATTGATTCTATTTTCATTTAAAAGATGAATGCTTTAATTTAATGCTCATAACTAGTTTATAACAGAAAAAAATTGTAWCCAATCAAATTAAARTCGACTAATTATACTACATAAYAGAATAGGTATACTTCTTTTTCAATGGTTATGGGTTTAAAATATGTTTTATTTTATTCATTACATTTTCTATTTTTAACAAGTTCATAAAAAATCAATAATATACATTATAAAACATTAACATCTATAAATAAATTTTAATGCCAACAAWCTGAGCGACTTCCCTCGATTCTATGAATGATTTTGAGCACTGATAACTTTTTCATAGGCGTGCATAGAGGGTATGCAGCTGCATACTTTGAAGCTCTTTGAAGGGTGAAAATTGATGCTAGAAAAAAACCTTTTTTGTGTAAAAATAATAATTAATACATATATTAAAATATTTATAATTAATTATAACAAATAATTAAAAAGAAATTATATCAGACTGACAGCAGTGACAACTTTCATTTCACGTATAAAATCATAATAATGTGATTACTATGCTAACCAYTGTTCAAGTATAAACATACTTATGGCTGGGTGTTATTAGCAAATTGAAACATTCAATTATAAGTTATTAACTACCAAGTATTTTTGAAATACATACTTTTTGTAATTTGTCATGTTATTTGTTACAATATTTTTTTAATTAAACAGTAAAAYTTTTCAATACTTGTGTATTGTGTAGGTATATAAAATTTTACATGCTTAAAATAACTTTCAGAACACACCAGTGGCAGCCTTTTGCATAATCTAAAAAAAGGCCTGCGTACGTCTATGATCTTTTTTAATGTATAATATATATAGTCTCCAGCGTTTTGTGACTTCCAGAACCTGTGGTAGGACGTGAGTAAGTACTAAGTGACATACCCAAAAAATTCATGCGTGTAATGTATGTTTGTGTAGTATGATAATATAATATATTTTTATATTTTTCGATTTACTATACATAAATTCTTGTGGAAGTATGTTCATTGCCCTGATCAATTTATTTTAACTATTTAGTCATTTTGGTTGTTATGATAATTAGTTGGATATCTATAACGACTATAACCAGTGATTATAATATACATGCTATAATAACAGTATGATGGTGATAGCCGATATGCCCTATGTATAAYTATTAATGTTCTTATATTATTATTATAATACTCACAATATATATTTTATAGCTTWTATTATTTATAGACAAATTATTACATTTATTAAACCAAAATATTTTTAGTGGTAATTTGATGAGTTAATAGTATTACTTTCAATGTATTTAATAATGATGCTTATTAATATTTAGMAATTTAAAAAAATATATTTAATTACATTTTTTTACTTTAATGATGATACAATGTTAAATATAAATATATATTTATTCATTATTAGTTTATTATACYGTGTGTTCAATTTTAAAGGTAACAGGAAATATTTCGAACGCATGACCTTGAATTTGATTCGGGTTCTTTTTACAGGATACAGGACATATAAATACACATTTTTTTGATAAATTTAAATTTTTAACTTTTTATTATCTGYGCATGCGCAGTAAAATAAAAACTTCTTAAATAGGAACCATAATTTTTGACACTGGATTTGGATTGCTCTATTTTTTTTTGAGCAACTTTGATCTTTACAGTTGTTTGTTGATATCTTCAAAATTGCCATTTTTATAACCCTCGAAAGTTTTAAATCAGTTAATTCGTAAATATCGCATTTTTYAACGAATAAATTATAATGATATTTTTTTATAAATTCTATGTAATAATAAATACACATTGTAGTTTTAATAAAAATAAATTGTTATAATATTACCTATAAATGTGTAATTAAGATAGAGCGTTRAAAAAATATTTTATATATACGCACTATACAGTTGTCTTATCTGGTGTGATGTTGATGTGAGTAGTGATAAATTATCAACAACTTGAACCTTATTTTTTTTTTTGGGCATTATTTCTGTAGAGATCACGATTATAGATAACATAATAAATATTTTCTTACCCATCTTCTATAATGGTAGGGATTGAATTTATCAAATTATTTATAGTTATATTAAAACACAAGACTTAGAATTATTATGATAAATAAGGTATAGTCCAGGGATCACCAATAAATTTTTTTGAAGGGCTACATTAGGAATCTTGAAATAATTATTTGCTGGGCATCAAAATTGCAAACGTYAGTAAAAAAAAATAATCAAAAATGAAGAATTACAACGACATAGTGTTCTGTAGAACGTATAATATTAACAGTCATTACTTTTTTTCTCTTGTCAGCGGTTCGGATAAAATTTTCTACTAGCCGAATGTGGTCCACGGGCTGCCATTTGGTAACCCCTGGTATAGTCTATAATTATTGTACATGAATTCGATTTTGTAATTGCATTCAGTATTCAATACCTTAATTGGCCTAATTATATAATTCAATATTATTATTATTTATTTTTATTGAATATTCGTATTTGAAAATTATAATAATTAAAACATGAGGGTAATTTCTTTACTCGAATCCCTCGTCGAATCCTGTATCTACAATTTGTATACTATCTATTGTTATTGGCTAATGGTATTTTACATATTTTGTAGATTGTACCCATATTCAAATATTTTACAAAATATTATTTTAATTGCGTGTTTTGCATAAAATTGATATCAAAATGTCAAAATGTACACCTAAATTATTTCATTAACTATACATTTTATTTTGGTTTTGTACAGACGTACAGGTACCTAAACATAATTTAGAAAAAGCAATAACAGCGCGTTTTAGACGTTTTAGTTCAGGCAGTACAACAGTTATAATATGTTATTGCCTTATTGGGTTCTAGGTTTGACTGGCTGCAAACACGAATTGCGTGCCAAAAAATGAACACTTATAGTCAACAATCGAATTGCGTGCGTAGTTTTTTTGTGACAGAATGGAGTTGCGTGCATAAAAGTTTGAGAGTCGAGACTATTTTAACAGTCGGTTAGCATCCAGAAACGACTAACGATACAAATGGAAGTTAGTGTCATGTACAGTGAAAAAAATAAAAAATTATACATAATTAATGGCTATAAATTTCATTTCAACAAATTTTTAAATAATAATATTCAGAGATGGGCATGCACAAAACGAATGTGTAAATCATACATTAAATTAAATGAAAATGCTGAAATTTTTTTTAGTGTCTTAAATCACAACCATGAAAAAGATGATGTAAATATTTTAATTCGACAAAAAGTATGCAATAAATTAAAACGTAAAGCTCTAGATGATCCATGTGAAAAGCCCTGTAAGATTTTGCACCGAGAATTTCGCGAAGAAGATATTGCTTGCTTGACTGCTACGGACACCACGCGTATAAGAAAAAATATTCACCATGCACGTTCAATCATGATTCCAAAGTTGTCTACGAATTTAGATGTATTTAGTTTGGCTCTAACAAATTTAGGTAAGATCAAAAAAAAAAATAATAATAGATTTTATCAGATATATGTGTCGGCATGAAGTTATAATTACAAGTTTGGAGTTCATAGAAAAATTAGCTTACAAAGTTTAATTTATTGATRCAATTATTTTCGTASATTTTTTTGACTGATACCTATGTATTATTATTTTCACAATTTAAATTTTATTAAATTTGTTATGACTGACTTTTTGACTGATATTCAGCACAGAATGTTTTTTGAATATTTATTGTTTACTTACTTTAGTTAATAATTTACTTTAAAATTCTAAGCACGCAATTCGACTCAATCACGAAAAAAAACCCACATGCAATTTAAACTCATTAAGGATTTTCATATGCGATTCGGAAAACCGGTTAGACTAAAAAATACCGTATATTGTATAATAATTACTATTTATACGATAAGGAAACATTATTTGGCAGATTAAATTTTTATTGTCGTCACATCGATATATAGGTATCGCGGTACCTWTAGATATAATATTTATTTACGATAAACCGATAAAAAAAGGGTATCGCATAAATTTTGATTTCAAATTCCTAATGTCAAATTTGTTGACGTATCCGCAATACATGCCCAACAAACGTACGATATTTTATAAATGTTGGTTGGCAATAATGTCGTTATTAATTTTTTCCTCGTGCTGTTAAAAATAACGTGTTTCRTCGTTTGATTGAGAGGGGATGATGGTGAGCAACGAGCCTGGTGCGCGAGAGAACGGGAACGTGAGTGATAGGGAGTGAGAAAGAGAGGAATATAAATAACAAAAATGTGAATAACACTCTGGCCCGTCCGGAGACGAGTGAACCGGTCTCCTCCGCGAGTGCCTACAGTGCGCAGCCGGTGACGTACGCCGAATGTTTCGTATCTYGGTGTTTTCCGTGTGTCTCCCTTTCGCCGTCTCTGTCTTGCCCGACCGGACTACTTATTCTTGAGCGCGCGACGGCGCTCGCTATTCCATTTCACATTCTGAAAATGCACAACGCCGACCATCGTCTCCACCACTGTTGGACGCAACTCTAATACCATCCATCACGCTACGGGACACAATTAGCCGTATTTCCGGCGGGATGGCTCGTGACGCTGTCGTGCACGACGTGGACCTGCCGTCGCTGGAGTACGACGACGAAGAAACCGCTTACATGTCCACAGAGACGCCTAGCTTCGACGCGGACGACGCGACACTGGGCAGCACGTTCGTGATCGTTGACGAGGACGTCTCCGATCCGGACGATAACGACGGAGTTGGCGAAGAGGACGACGTATCTCCGCTGGTGGCCCGGACGGCATTGACCTCTGCCGCCGATTCGCGGTCGTCGTCCTCGGACACTGGAAAGGTCAAGTTCTTGGACAAGATCAGAGAACACAAGAGCTACCAGAAGCTGGCGAGGATCGTGAAAAAAAAAGGTCTGCGACCGACAGTACACACAATATTATTAACGTCGTTTCTCTGTGTTCAACCAGCACGTCACGTATTTGCGTTCTATTTTCCGCGCGTGTGAACGAATAATCTTTATTATAATAYATCAATTGCAATATATGAACCTATATATTATTTTAAATTTTTCTATCACTATAAAATATTACAATGCATAATACATTTTTAGTATCAATGTTATGATAAAAATTTTATCGTGTAGATACCGTACCAACGGACGTAACTGCGTGCAACATTACCAAATAGTTGTTATAACTGTGGTTCGCGGGTGTATGTATATTAATGGTATTTGACGTTTTTCATTCAATTTAATCAAATTTCTAATTTTTTTTTTTTTTTTGATTGTTGATTTTATTTAACATAATGTTCATATCAATTTATCCGCGTTTACTATAAATGTAGATCTTTGCGCAATAATTGATAGTTCTAACACTGATCACATGTGGCACTACTCGAGTATTTACCTGCTCGGCTGCTCCGGATTCGTATAATAAAACTTAATAAGAATCRTATTATACGTGAACTGTTTAATATTAATGATAATTGATAATAAAATTGAGATAAAGGCGTGTTCAGTTCACTCAGGTAATGGATAAACCTGTGAAATCATAATATAATCCTCGACATGATCATATTAGTAATTTACTCGAACTTCTCAAAAAAATTGCTCTTGAGTCTTGGTCACATCTGTGAAATTGATTTTCTGACTTATTATCACGCTAATGGATTGAATTTATTATTGATAATAAGACGTGGGTTTAAATGGTAGTTCCGATTTCGTCATCAATTACTTTTTATGATTAGAAATAGTATCATAGACACAACGAGTCATCGAATAATTATACAAAATGTAYAACGAAAACATTCTTTCTTAAATTAATTACTGCTTTATAACATTGTAATAAATAATAATCGCAATTGGAAATCATTAATTATGCTTTTAGATTTTTATTTATTTGTGGACATTGGACAGTATTTTATTCATATTTCTTAGTTGATGTCGAAATTGACGTATTTATAATGATTTAATTGTCTGTTGGTATACTGAAAGTCTGAATCACGATTCATGGCGGTTATCGATCGAATTAATAATTTWATAATCATTTAATATATTGACATATTGTTATATATTTAAATCTCGTGATCATAAAAAGTATTCTGTTCTCATCATTGTTCCAATGCAGTTGTATTGTAGGTAAATTATTTTTAAAATTTAAATCATAGAAGTAGATAAACTTGCTGATTCAAAACTTACATTTTGTTGTTTTATTTATATAGGTATATATACATATTTTATACAACGCACATTGGCATTATGAGCTGTGGTTATGGTATGACTTATGAGCTACTTGTTATATTATGATAACTATGTTTCATAAATTTGTAAACTCGCGGTCGATGTATTACAAAATTGAAATAATTTTATATGTTATGTTACAATAACTACCTACAACAATTTATATATTTAATCTTTGCTCTAATACTTAGTCTACTCTATTGTATTAGTCCCACTATTAGTTCGTACTTATTACCTGTACCTACTAAATATATGAATTTAAACGTAACAAAAAATAATTGTGGGCGACTCATTTGAAATCTGACATTGTGATTATTCTAATATATACCWCAGTTTTTTCTAATTTTAAATTTTAAAGCGTACTCGATTTAATTGTTTAGTCACGTATTTCTATATTTAGTTACATATAATTTATTATATAGATTTTTTCGATGTTACCTTAACAAAAATCGATAATTAACTTCAGGTAAAATGGATTCATTTTTTTTTTCTGAAATAATTATTTATTAAAGTTAGTTCATGCTTTCATAAGTTTTCGAATGTTWTACTCTTCGTACTCGCGTATAGTCTTTGGAAGTAGCATAGGTATTTAATTTTCATGCGTATTTATTTTTAAACGAATTCAAACTATTGAAAAGCCTGTAGAATGTAGAAAATAGATACATAATTTACGTGATTCCTGGTATCGATAACAATATCGTCTATTTCCAAGTGATTCATATATACATAATATTTTTATTATTCGTGGTTTTTACCTTTTTATGTATCTTTGTTCAAAAATATTATTTTTTATTTTATCGATAAATCATAGCACCTAGCTGCAGTAATAGTATATTAGTATATTAGTATATTAGTATATAGTTGATTGTTTAAAAAATTCAAAAATTTGACACTCTTGCAAMAATTAATGACATACACAGATATTGCAGTTACTTATTTGCCGGCATGTCTACAGACCATTATTGTTTTATTTATATAAACTAATTTTTTGTCGGTTTGTACACGTCTTTGTGCAATGTTGTATTTGGAAATAATTTTAACAATTGTWAACATTCGCGTGCTCGGTGACCTAACCAATAAGGAATAACAATAATAATAATGCATGAATTAGTTACAGCTATTGTGGATTAATTGTTTGTACTTTATTCGGATACATCGATAATATTTTTCATCTTAATGTATGCATTTATAAAGTTTTGAGCCCGTCGTAGGTACTAGTCRCTATCATAAATGTATCTCAGGTTCTTCATGATATTTATTTGATTTGTAAATCGTAGACTTGTACTTTGTATTATCTTAAAAACTATTTAGTAAGTGAATATATTATGTTATGTAATCCTTATGACGTATGGTTAAATTTAAAAACAAAATATTAGATGACGCAGTGGTATACTATAAATTATAATGTTTAGATTTTAGRTATCCTGCTTATCCGAAAAGAAGTGATTATAATAGTTTTTTATTAGGTATTAGTTGATTTCATATAAAAATAGATCGTTTACGTCTAACGCCCTATTATGGTTTCATATTTTACTATATTATCCTCTAATTATCTATGGATAATATTGAACTAAAATAGATGATTGAACTAGCTACGGACCAGCACACTTCAAATAAACAAATTAAATTGTAAATTGTTGCCTTAGCGCTTAGCCGTACACTTAATATACATACGCATATTATGTATAATATATTATTCAAGTGTACAAACTGGGAATTCAATGTTAATCTTGATTAATCTTGATCKCTAGATGGTGAATCATAAAAATATGATTTCTTTTGGGTCATTCAAAAATTTAAGTTGCATATTTGATGTTTATACTTTTAGTATACTAAAACGTGACCATACATCCTGATTTGGGTGGGACAGTCCCATTTTCAAGCTCAGTGTCCCGATGTCCCTGAAGAACCTAAAAATGTCCCGCTTTAAGAAAAGTTGACTTGTGGTAGATTTATTGATCACATATYTCAATAATACATATTTTATACTATACTTATACAGTATACGTATACCTACATAATTTATATAAATTGTAAAACACTAAAATCCATAGTCCATAGATTGTTGGAAGTCTCTGTATTAAAAGCCATTCTTGTAACAAAGAGCAACATAAGTCAAGAGATCCATTTATACATAAAAAACAAACAGGCCACTTTAAAGCAGATTTGTGGATCCGTCAAATATATAGAAAAATTATATGTTTTCTTATTAAAATGTGCAGGTGTCCCACATTGAAGAAAAAAAATTATGGTCCCATTAAGTGTACAGTTAATAAATTGTATTTATATTTTAAGAAATGTTGAATGTATCATTCACTAAAGCATAATATTATTAGTATTGTTAGGTAACATATATTTGTTGTAATTTGTAACTTTTATTTTTCACTAATTATCTGCTGTTTGTCAAACAATGTTGCTTAAAATTAAACAACTTATTAAACTTTTTTAATTTTTTAGGTGAAGAACCTCCAGTWATTATGTCACCAGATTCAGGAATTAACGAATTGCAAGGTCTTACTCTCGAAGAACAGGAAAAGCAGAAAGAAGAATGGCAACAAGAGCTGAACAAGGTAGAAGAAGAAATCAAGACATTACGTGAAGTGCTGGGTTCCAAGGTGAAAGCTTCTCAAGAGCTTAGACGTAAGCTTGGTTATACTGTTTGGCAAGAGATTAGTGAAGACGTGTCACAGAGCTTGCGAAATGTTAAAGAGTCAAATGTGTAAGTTCAGTAATGAATATTTTCCACCATGTGTGCTGAATTTTTTTTTWATTTTGCTAGCTTTCGGTCTATTACTATTATGATTTATCCATTTTTCTATTATTATAGCTAAATACTATTTTTATTTTTTTATATTATTATTATTTTTATATTTTTATATAGTTATCAAAATGTAGAGGACAAATTTACTCAATTTGGAAAAGCTGTTGTTGACGCACCAATGTAAGTCTTCTGTACAAAGACAAGCATTTCAATTTCCTAACGTTTATTTTATGTATCAGTGTTTGATTAACTGCCAAAATGAAAGTCATCTTCAACACAGCTTCTAAATATTAGTGTGATTCAAATTCGATTATTAATATAAAATAGCAGTTAAGATAAAACATCTAATTAATTATTACTCCGTTTACAATTGTTTAAACAATTTTCTCTGTATTAATATTCTAAAAATGATAAATAAGTATTTTGTGTTAATTTAGATAGTATGTTGTTATTATTATTATCCTATTATATTAACTCTATGGTTATAGGTATTTCATTAATTTATAGTTTATACTACAGGTTTGCTCTTGGAGACAGCATATGCTGTTCCAAATTTTTTTTGGATAACTTTATTAGTTATTAGAAAATGTATAGATAACTTTCTATATCCTTCTTCCAATGAAAACATTGAGTTTTAAGGGGTTTTCTTCTAATAATTATCACCTTAATTATCGCATTTTTTTTTCTACCTCAATAATACCCTRAATCTGTGGAATCTAATATATTCTCACATTTTAAACTTTAATTTTTAAATTTACTACCAAACAGAAAATGGGCTAGATTAATCTCTTGTTGCMYTGAAATCAGAGCTTGAACTATATTATACATATTTTAAATTAATTTAAATAAATAAACAAGTAAGGTAMATGATCTTAATCTTTATGTTTAATTTTTAATAGAATTACATATAGTAAATTATAATGAATCATTTTTCATA